GTGCTTATATCAATATACAAGTGTGACTATAGACATAAAGCAATTGAAAATTAGTACTAAAGTTTAAAGAATAGTCAACAAATAGACAGATATTGGTATGTATATACGGTCAAGGTTCAAACAAAAGACATACATTATTGACATTGTATGCATATATATATATGTACGCATATGAAACAAAAGAAAAGAGACAGAATAACAAGTTTTGACTGTTGTCCTACTTTCTTTGATGTTAAGATATTGAAGCCGGACTATGAGAATACAACAATTCACAATATTATTATGAGAAGAGAAACCTATCAGATGAATAAGTAACTAATCATAATACCGCATGCTTGTGCATTTCAACAACAAGCAAGACAAGGATCAATAGCCTTCTTATGAATGAATGAACTGACCAAATAACATTTGTGCACATAGAAAGAAGTGCTAATGGAATAAGTAATAAGTGATGAAGAAGACCAAACGAAACTGATTATTCCTGTTGGCTACTATTGTATTTCACACTTCGTAAGTGTAAATATGTATACAATAAATAAAATAAAAACTGACTCTTCATTTATTCTTTTGTTCTCTCTATTTTCTCTTTATCAAATTCTCTTTCAATAATATTGTAATGGGATTCAAGTGCAACATAGTATTATATATGATGTAATACTAGTTAAACAATAATATATACTGATCCGCTAACATGCTGTGTATAAGATTCAAGTAACTATCATTAGAATTAGACTAGTCAGTAGTATACACTGTAGGAGATCTAATAGAAATAGTCATGCTGAATTGCACACACTATTGTCTAATGGCGAACATTGGCATTTGTATGGCCGTGCTAATGTCTGAAAAAATATGAAACGAATTTCCCCCAAGGAATGATCTATTTCTTTGAACATTTCCTCATTTTTTTTTTATTTTTTTTCCGCCAGATGTGTGATTCTTAACAAAACAGTAAAACGTGATCTCTATGTCTCATATGCGACATTAATCAGATAGGCAAACTCAATATATGTATATATACATATATATATATATACATACATTTATTGAGAATAGTACGGTTCACGTGGTTAACGAGTCCAATACTTATGCCAGATGCTCTCCTCACCCTTCTACAATTATGTATTAGTTATGCAAGTTACTCGATCTTTTATCTCCTAATCATCTCAATAACCTTTTTTCCTTATCAATCACAAGAAAAAAAGTACGAGTGAGGAAGGACATTTCTACATATTGTGAAGTTTATCTGTTCTTTTTCTTTGCTTCTCAATCTTACTTACTTACTTAGGGTGTACCAAAAGTTCTGATCACCATGTTTAAAAGACTCTTTCGATAAGGCGTCCTATTCAAAAATGAGAAACCAAGTATACTATGTTGTAGAGTTTTTCGAGATGCATCTAATGGTATATAGTAAATTCTATTTTCATAAGACTCTGAAAGAATTAGAATCAATTTACTGATAGGCGACTACACATTCACACATGCATCCATCCATATTCACATCCACAAGATGATCGGAGATGCTACGCATATGAGATTGTAGTCCTTTAAAAGTTCTACAAAGTCATATGTGAGAAAAGGCATTTTACAAATATTTTTGATTAATAGCAAGGACAACAATATTCATTAATTTATCATTGTTGAGTATAGGTGCTAGTATGGATGCATGTGGATATGTAGTCGTCTATCAGTAAATTGATTCTAATTCTTTCAGAGTCTTATGAAAATAGAATTTACTATATACTACTCGATGCATCTCGAAAAACTCTACAACATGGTGTATTTGGTTTCTCATTTTTGAATAGGAAACCTTATCGAAAAAGTCTTTTAAATATGATGATCAGAACTTTTGGTACACCCTAAGTAATTGTGACCACGGTCAATATATTTGCTCAAGCTAAGCCGACTTGTGAGTTGTGTATGTTCATCAACATAATTTATCCATTATGCAGTAACCAAAAAAGAGATGGATCGTAGTACAATATTTGTCGAAGGCAAGTATATGCATATGTCTATAGACGCGTCTTCGTTTTCTCGTTGACGGTACCAACAACGTTCAATCTATATAAATGAGATGGATGTTTGACAAGAGGAAGAATAAAAATGAGAGAGAGAGAAAGAAAGAAAGAGCAAAGAGCAGTGCTCTAAACTTGCATGGGTACGGATAATAACAGAGAGTGCATATAAACAGAAGCCACAATGATTACTGCTGTGCTCGATAATGCGACGATGAAGATGATAATAACGATGGGCAGTATAGCTGGGTGATTTTTTTAATGGAAAAATAGCATGCTGTATCTACTAAAGAAGTCGATTACCAATATTCTCTTTCCCACTCACATCCAACATAGATAACATAATACTAACGATAAGGTTGCATGCAAGTTTTCTTTGCAATAATAGATATGATGATGACCACTGTGTGCTCACAAGAAAGAGAACAATATTTATGTCTCGTTACAAGGCATATTTTAATATTTCTAATTATCGATAATTCATAAAACAAAACAAAGAGGAAGACAAATGATTGATCACTATGCATTTATATTGAAATAAAGAATGTTAGTAGATATTTGTATGAAACATTCTTCTTATGATACAAGTAACAAAAATCAAAGCTATCTACAATATAAAGTTAAAAGAAATATATATTGAAATCTTTGCCCTTTTTATTTTCATTATTATATGTATGTAAATACTTTCAATGAGTTACTGATGATGATGATAATGATGATGATTGCCGATGTCAAACATGAATGAAAGGCGGATTAAATGAGGAAGCAACAGACGAAAAAAAACGTAGAAGAAGAAAAATAGCTTTAAGGTCATTCAATCACTTTTGTTTTCAAGTATCTTAACATCTGTCATCATGTCAAATATATATGAAACGAAATGACAAGCGTATACAGCATCAATATATCTAATTATCTCATATGATGATGAGTTGTAACAGAAATATACATTCTGAAGGTTTTCTTAGATAAAAAAAGCACAAGAAGTTCACTGCTAATAGCGATAAACATAACCATCTTCAACTAGATTATATATATGTAACAATCATTACGATCAGTAATAATCTTTTGACACATATATATACAAAAAGATATAGAATGTACTTAAAAAAAAATAATCTGCCTATCATCACATTCTGTCATAATCTAAATCGATTTATAAATATACATACAAATCAAAGTAATCAATTTAAATTTGATTGACTTACCTGATTGACTCGCCTATCGTTCTGAGCTCTTCGTCGTTTTTTTTTTCATGTATGTATATATTTAATGACTAGTCTTTTTTCTTTCCTGACAGATACAACATGAGGTCATTAACATAGACAAAAGAAGGGGTAAAAAGAGTAACAGAAACAGAGAATATAGATCATGTTTATTGATCAATTCAAGCTGAACTCCACGAGTAGTCATGGTCGGTGTTCGAGTGAGCGTGATAATAAGCTGTGTGAATCAATCACGCGAAATACAAATTGTGCTATGTCTTGTTCATTGGACAAGAAAAGTATTGATCAATAAGATTATACGTTTTGATCATATGCAAATATAACTTAAACGCGATAAACCTACTAAAAATGAATTATTTATAATTAATAAGTATGATTTCACTTTATTACACATGACTACCGATGAATAGTATATTAATCTCAATCCGGAAAAGCTTGAAAAAGGAAATTATAATTAATTTCAACTAAAGTTGCCGTTTCATCTCAAAGTTTGTAAATATTTGTTAGATTTCAATATGATATAACAGTATCATATGTCATAAGTATTTTTATCTAATATAAATTGAATTTTGTTAGCACATCTGTTTTGTGATTTTATATTATAAATTATTACTTTTAACAGTTATTGTTTTTATGTTGCTGTTGTTTTTGTTTTAATGTAATAACAAAAAGAAGAAGAAATAAGTTAAATGATAATATAATATTTGTTTTGAAAGTATTGATCTTAAACAAATGTTGAGTACACTTTCGAAACTGTTATTGATATCAAGTATATGTTTTTTCTATGCAGAGATTTTTAAGTAGTACTAATAAAGATTGGTAAGGGTCATTCACAAATCGATTAATAGCTATTTTAGCTATCAATCTCATGTGTATCTTTAACAAAAAAACTATTAATGAATAGATTAGCATGATAATGAACTTTTTCTATTCTTTTACCATCTAATATTTAAATAATATATATGATATATCTTTATAATTCTAATTGAATCCATCTAAAATTGATTAAGTTGACAGTTGAATTTGATCAACTGCCAGCTTTTATAAATTCTCATTGTCACGTATATAGCAAGATGATGACTTTGATAGGTTTCGCTTATGGTTATCTCACTCAATTCAAACAATATCTGAGTGTAATCTTTTGCATACTGTTGTGATATACACTTCTATCAATCTTATACATCATAATAGAGAGAACTTGAATCAATACAAGTTTTATTTGTTATATCGATGACGCAAAAAAGGAATCAACATTAACATTGATTATAATTCAGCCATTATTCAATGAATTAATGATTGTTTTATAAATATTTGTATAAAACATAAAAATTATCAGTGTCACTATTTCGAATTTATCTATGTATTACTTCAATATTAATACGAAGATTCATACTCAAGAAAACAATAGAATTCTTTTGTTTGAAAGTACCATAAATGAGCCTGATCAATATTAGCTTCATTGTAATCGAATATAATTCTAAATGTTTGTCATTATATTCTTTTTGTAACTTTTGAAATCAATACAAGCATATAAAGAAAGGAAAAATTCATCAATCAACATTAGTCTATTGTTTAGCATGTTACAATATATGAAAAGACTGATTGTGTTTGTTTTTATTTTTTATAATATAAAATGAAAGACATTATATACAAGCAAAAAGAAAAACAACTATATTAATTAATAAAAAGAATCATAAGTGATTACATCACAGATTTATTGAAAAAAAAAGAGAGAAGAGAATCAAAATTATTAAAAGAAAATCATTTATGATAATTCACTGGTATCACTGTTATTTGTTTCGATTTTCTTTTCTTTACATTCATAATTGACAAGAGCTTGAAGAGAATCACTATCAAATGTTAATTTACCTTCCAAAATATTAGCAATCTAGAATGATAGTAGAAAATAGTCATTTCTTTCCCTTGCTTATTAATGAAATATTATTTCTATATACTTGTTTTAAACCAGCCAATTGAATATGTAATTCATCTTCATTTGGTGCTTCCAAATCACATATTTGTTTTTGTAATCGTTCTAATATAGAATAAAAAATGATTTATATATACATTATACTTATAATAAAAGGAGGACAGTTGATAACTGTTCAAAATAGTGCTTGCGAGAGATTTGATTTCTTCTATATCAATCTGAAACATAAGATCTTTGAAAATAAGTCCTAGTAGAATTTATCATAAAGTACTTATTTATGCTATGTGTACAGATCGATTAAAATAGTCAATGGACATTACATGTACATGGAAACCGACTATTCATGATGATCAGTACGTTTTATCGACTGATTTCATGAGTAACCAGCCTATTTTCATGTGATTCTATAGTAATTTTTAAGCGATTCAAAATGATATTAAAAACATCAAGGAAAAATTATTGGTTATTCAATGAAATCTCACGGAAACTGTTCTCGAGATATGATATCATATTTTTTTTGCTTGATATTTATTGGATGTCGATTATAAAAATATGATTTAGATAAAAACTAATATGATATTATGAATCAACGTTTTCATAATCTTTTCGCTTTCATCAACAAATTTACCCGAAGTTTCCCGCTAGATTGGGTCAAAAAATAAATTTCATAATAACTCTGTTTTTATCATTTATTCATCTGCTATTTGAACTTCTATTATCATTGTATAACTTTATAACTTGATTCTTATTGTCAATATAAACTCTTCGATGCTATTCATTTTTGGACACAATCCTGAGGGGAGCCAGAGCTAAATTTATCGACGAAAGAAAAGATTGTGAAAACTTTTGAAATACACCCAAATTCACTCAGTTTTGGATGTTGACTCATAATATCATATTAGTTTTTATCTTAATCATATTTTTCTAATCGATATCTACTAAACATAAGGCAACAAAAAAGAATATAGAATCATGTGTCGAGAATCGTTTTTTTGAAACTTCTTTATGTGAACAGTTTTTTCCTTGATGCTTTTATACCATTTTGAATCATTTGAAAAGTACTATAGAACTATATAAATACTACGATATTCTGATTGATAGATAAAAAGAGTTGGTCATCCTCAATAGCTCGATGTAGCATACGTAGGATAGCGATCGACTATTTCAATGGCTCAATAAACAGCATAAACAAGAGCTATAGATATAGTTGTACTAGAGATCACTTTGGGATACCTTGATTGAGAGTTTGACATGACAGAAATCATATTTCTATAGAGGACCGATTTGAATAGTTATCAATTCTCCTCCTTTACCAATGAATTTATTCATATATTGAGCACAACATTTTTGTAGTCGAACATTATCCTCATATTGTTGTCGTGTTGTTTTTCCAGTCCATAACTAATATGTATACATACATATTCATATATATATATATAATTTTGATTAATTGATAAATAAAAAAGATACTTACATCCATTTCGGAATGTATAGAAGTATTAGATGGAACGGACTTTGATATTTGTGATGATAAGGTAAATGGAAAGTTGCTTGAAGAATTATGTTTTAATGAATCTATTGGAATATTTTCTTGAACAGGCATTGGTAATTTTTGTATATCTGTTATAATCGGACGATGTAACCGAGGTTTTGGTGCAGGAGCTATCCATATACGTTGAAGTTCTTTTGATCGAACGATATTTTCTACATAATCAATGAACATAAAAAAGTCAGAAATTTAAATCAATCTGTTCTACAAAAACAAACACTTCATCAACAAACCTCGATCGTTTTCTGTTTGATTTGGTCGAGTTTCATCTTTTTTATGTATGGATGGAACAATCGGTGGTTCAGGTAAGGGTGGCAACTTAAATATATATTAAATAAGAAAACTTCCAACAAAATATTTATTTAATATTTGTTACTTGTCTTCCGGTTAAAGTTAGAGCTTTTCGAATGACAGGTTCAACATCAGTAATAACATTTTGTTTCATAAGTGATTGTAAATAACTAATATGTCCTATTTCTTCTTGTTTTCCAACTAGAGAAGATCAAATTATTTTTGTTTATAAATATATGTAATTTGAGGGAAACAGTAGAAGATATCAACACATACTTATTTGTCCGACTTGTATTAAAAGTGCAATAAAAAAATAATCAACAAATCCAAAATGTTCATCAAAACAAAAGATCACTGTCCAAAGAGCTAAAAAGGAAAAAAAACAGAAATAATTTATTTTCAGTATTTTTTAATTTTAATTCTTGAATTATTTACTTGGAATAGATTCAAATGGAATTTCCCGTCCAAATAAAAGTCGAAGCCAACGTCTATATAATATAAATTCGTTTAATTTAAGAACTAATAACAACGATCAACGTGATCATTATCTTTAATCTTAATATTATATGAACGATAGGGTCATTTCGTTGTATTGCTAACTAAATTTTTATGACAAATATTCGAAGTTTTGTGCACTCATATCACAGTTTTGTTTTCACCACTGTCAATTAGAGAATAACTATCAGTATTCTAAAACAGAATGCTGATCAGAGGATAGCTGACCATTTAAGTAATGGGCGATTTAGAAGTAATTCGACACAATGTTCATTCAATTTATCAACCTTTTTAAGAAGTCTACAGAAGTTCGGAAGCATTGGGTTAAAATCAGAAATTTATGTTCATTGTGAATACAGATTCACAGTATTTGTAGGTCTTCTAGTTTACGAGTTATGAGCCGATTTTTTAGAGATTCATAAATTAAGTTTGGATGAACATTAACGCACCAAAACCTACCCAAAATAGAAGTACACATTATTTCAAATATAGCGAATGAAAGAGCAAACATTTCTCGATAAGAATGATATATTAATGATTAGTTAAGTCTAAATCATTAATTAACAGCTGGTGTTGTGGTAAGGGACATTGTGTCATTTTAGGCAATCTTCTCGATTTCTATGAAGAACAAACTTGAAAAGTGAGCTTGACCATTCCTCAATGATTATCCCATAACTATTGATTCTTATATCATTTTGTCGAGAATAGTTTTGCCTTTAATTTTATGCAAAATAAATCGTTAATATTGGTTCGACACTAAAGGACACTATAGTAGCAAAAAAATTCAAATTGAGTCTATCCAAACTTAATTTATATGCCTATCAACAGTCACCTCATAACTCCTAAGGCAGACGTTCTACAATAATATTGAAGTCATGTTTGGAAAGAACAAAAAATTCTGACCGTAATTCATTTGTTCAAATTTCTACAAGCTCCATAAACGTCTGAAAAATGAATGAATAAGTTATCTAATAGTCTGTCGAACACGCATTATCAAACTATCTCTGACTGATTGTCAGAAACTGATGATTTCTCATCATTATCGACATCTACTGCTAATATAACAATTAAATCGCATAGAAATACGATTGTTGTAACATTTGTGTAATCAGACTCATAAAATTTGTTAAAGACTTGCAAAATGTATTTGAAACAAAAATTTTTAATTGAATTAATAATTGAATGACATTTGTGTATTAATTCAAAAACAAAAACCATAAACAAAAATTATTTTGTGAGCTTTTGAGAAAGAACTTAATGATATAGCATTGATATCTTAAAAAGAATATAATATTTTCATTCAAATTTGATTATCTTTCAACGAGTAAGATCCGATGAACTACAAAGTCAAATAAATATCTTTTCTGAGTTTCTAATGAATCTCTAAAACAAAAAAAATTCACTTGCCTATGTCAGAAAAGTAATCAAAACTAAATTTTATTTTTTTTTAAAGATTTCTCTTTATTGCACTTTAAGAGTTCATTTAAGACAATTATTCTTACATGCCATAAACTGTTGGTTCAATATTTAATTCTTCAAGTTTACCATGTAATGAATGGTCATAATGTCTTAAACGTTCAAAAATAGAATTCATTCTTGTAACAGTATCATTTGGTGGAATATGTACATCATTCCGTTGAAATGGTATTTGTTTTATACCATTTGAAATAATACTCTATGTTCATATGAATATTAAAATCATAAAATATTTATCAAAATTGAATTTGTTTCTTACTTTACGTATGGATGAATGTTTTGTTGAAAGTGAATAAAATTGTCGAAGATGATCAATAATTTTTTCAAAAATTTCACTAAGAAATTAAAACAAAAAAAGTAGTTTAAATTATTAAAACAATAATAAATCAATCATATATATATATTATACATACTAAGCATCATGTTCAAGATATTGTGAATCGTAGAGTTTTTTCATTAATTCATTTGATTCTTGACATTCATTTACTTTTAAACTTTCCAAATGAATTGCATAAACAACGATGCCAAGAATTTCGTGCATACCCTAGATCAAATTTCAGTGAAAACTATCAAATATATTTTTGTGAAAAACGATCTTAAAAGAGTATTGAAATATGGAAGTTAATATTCGGACTCCCTCATAGGCCATGGAAGATCTTATACACAGAAAATCTTAGACTACGATAAACACTGATATACGATCATAAAACGTATATTAAAAAGTTTCGTACTAATATATGTACTAATTTTTTATTGCATTTCTGGACGATTAAGTAAAATGATGGTTTTTCATCTCACTAAAAATGCACTAACAACTTTTTTCCTAATATTGCTTTTACTTGTCGATATGGTGTTGTTTTATGATGATGTCGACTATGAGTAAATAATATTCGTAATTGAAGATCTATCATACGTGGATTTCGAAAAAATGAAATATCTGGACAACTATAAGAGAAAAACGATGCCAAATAAGCAAAAATAAGAGGCAATGTAACTTACGTTCGTCGAACATCTGTTGTAATAGTTGCTTTAAGTTCTTCATCAGAAAAATATTGTGACCATAAACTCTAAAATAAATCAGATATCAAAAATAAGTACTAAACAATTTTTCATTTATATTTCATTACATTTTCATCTCGGGAAAGTGGATGATTCAGATTTGATATATCTTTATTATTATTATCACTTATTTTATATGGATCAATCTTATATTGGTCTACAAGTTTTTCATAATTATTACGACATGTATCAAGCATATCGTTCCATTGATTTGCATCACGTGATAAACAAAGTAAAAAAATACGCCATAATACTGTTGTAAAATTACATTCAATCATTTTACGATTTAAAATTTCTTCACGAACTATTTCATAATCGAAATTATCAAAAAGACGTTTGAATTCAGATCTAAGAAAGATAAACGATAGAATAAATAGAATAAAAAGTTTCATTAGTTTACAGAAGAAATAATTGATTTTTGTTCATATTATCAATAGGTTTAATTGAAGTTTGTACAGATGTAGGAGAAGTCTCAGCTAGAAATTTAAATAAAGAGAGATAAAACTTAATAAAGAAATATATAATCATTATTGTACATTCTAGAGGCATGGTTGTTTGATCAATAGGCGGAGTAGGAAGCTGCGATTGTAAGGAAGGTGGTGGTGGTGGTAGTCGCTGTGGTCGTAAAGTCGCATGGTCTGTATCAGATTTCGTCTGATAATTTGATGCAACCAGAGATACTTCGATAGATGACATACTCAGAACTTGAAAATTGTTGAACTCCAACTTGTCTGATAATGCACTCAGATTTACTATTCAAATGTCTGAAAGTATAGAAAAAAAAACAATTTCATCAATGAAACTTAATGTTACCTATATTTTCAAATTTTACAAACAAACAAAAACAAGAAAACATACACTGAACATTTCGCTATGTTTTGCATTGTTTTATATCTTTCACTTTATTCTTTTCTCATTATAACGAATTTGTTATCAGTAAATATTTGTTATTCATTCTTTTCGTATGTTGGATGATAATCACTCGAGAAAGAAAAAGAAAACTCTAACGTTCTGTAGAAGGTCATTCAAAAAAAAAAAATGTTCTATAAAACACAATCTTTTGTTTTGAATCTTTATTGTTTTTTATTTACTCTAACAAAAAAAAATAAAATAAAAGAACAACAGAGAAACAATAGTCGTTATATAATAGTAATTTTCTTTTTTGCATAAATCAAACTTTCCTTAAGCACAAAACAATAATCATTTTTCGATAACATTTGAATTAAATATAAAACTTTTCTTTGTTATAAGAAGAACATTTATTTAGATATATTTATATTTCTCTCAAAAAAAAAAACAAAAAAAATGAAAGATCGACCAAACATAGTCACCTAAGTACTTCGGTATATGCAACACAAAACGCAATGCACTTAATAAAATAGACTATTCTTCATCTGACGCAATATTAAAAAAAATAATAAATGAAAACAAAAAACAGAGCAAAAAGTAGAATTAAACATGAAATTGAGCCATTTAAAGCCAATATGATCCTGGAGCTCTATGCACTTTTAACATTTGATTATAAGTTAAATTTAATGGAATATTGATTCGAGCACCAATTAAATTATTTTTTTCAATTGAATTCAAAATCATATGTCTATCAAAAAAACCAAATGTGTTATCATATCTTCACATGGTTTTTTTTTCTTATGAAAGGTGTCTTATAGGTTTTGAGGTTGAATGAAGATTAATTTATGTGTAAACAAGAAGTGTTCTCTACTCATCTAAACCTAATTGAGCTTCGAGTACTTCGGACAATGCTTTAAATATTATTATTTCTTTACATAATAGTGATATAAACAGAAGAAACGTGATAATTAAAATCTCGAAATCCACTGGTATTTTATGAAGAACTTGAATTTCATTGTACATAACGTAACACAATTACGTTAAGCGATATGTGGTAACTAAGGTATGGATGTGGCTATCCTTGATAGCTACACTCTAATTGTCATGTTTCTTCTGTTTGTATCATTATTATTAAAGAAGATAGAGTTGTTTAAAACATCATTCTAACTACTCGAAGCTCAAATAGATATAGTTGAGTAGTAATCACTCTTTTGTTTACATATAAACTAATTTTTGTTGAGGTCCAGAACTTATGGAATATCCTTTATTCATACCCATCTTTATATTGTAAAAACATAGCTGGAATTAGAATATTGCGTTGAGTCATATCATCTATCATATCAACAAAATAATCGTCTGCTGTAGGATTATTATCCATAACAATAACACCCAAAGCACCACTTTCTTGTGCAATTATTACTTTTGTAACAAATGAACATTCACTAAAAGAAAACCGAAATTCCTACGAATAAAATATACATATTCGTATCTTATTATTAAACATACCCACGTTCAATAAGTGCAATATTTCCATTTAATTCAAAATCATTTTGCAACTGACTACATGCTCTGAATGGTTTAGCTGGTATTAGATAAATATTTTTAAGAAATTGATTCTATAAACAATAAGAAAATACTGCAATGAGAAATTCAAAGTATTGAATTAACCATAAAACGAGTCATGTAAATAAAACATACGGTTAGAAAAAAATCAATGTTTGCGAATTTGAAATTATTAACTCACAAAGTTAGTACCAAGATTTTTTGCTGGTCGGCATCGAAATGTATAATTAATATCGGCTATAAAAAGAAAATTATATTTATAAAATTTAAAATTGATATGAAAATGAATAAACATACATGGTTCTACAACTTCAAAATAAAGGTCTTTATAATGATCATCATCTTGATTATTAGAATGTATAGTTAATGGTAAAAATATGGCAATGATTGAATAAAAACCAATAAAAAGCATAATAGCTATTGTATATATCTGAACAATGAAAGAAACAATAAGATTTTGATTGTTTTAATGTGTTTTTCCTTAGATAGTTAAATTTTGATTTATGAGAAATAATGTGTTAACAGTAGAATAACATTAAAATACTCAATATAGTTCAATTATTTATCTAATATATTCTTTTCTTTTTTTCTCAGCAGATGTCTATGAAACTTCAGATATCTTGGTTGTAGATTCTAAAAATATGGGTCAATCATTCAAATTTTGTTTTCAATAAATATCTGTATTGATTTATTTTGCATAGACAATGAATGTATTGCATTCACTAATTTTCATATAAATAATGTCTATTCAGAATCGAATTACAATTTGGAGTAGAACTAAGATCTCTTTTTTTTTATACAATCTAAAATAAGTATGTATGATCGTAAAAAAATCAATCATGCGATTATTGAATCAATTGAATGAATAAATGAATAAACAAATAACAAGAGCTTGTCGATGAATCATTTCATTTTCAACCAAAAAATTTTCAATGCATCTTACCGTTAAATTTTCTTTAAAAAAACAACAAAACTTTTTAATTGTTTCATTTAATGCGATTTTTTACATAATCCAATCAATGAAATATCAAAGTGCATTACTATGCATATTCATCTTATAGTACAACAACAAACAATATGGCCGTTGGTAAGAAACTGCAGATTGATGCTCTGGTAGTTCTAGAATCAGTTTCCAACCTAAGAAAAAACTAAATTTTTGAATCTCGATACGATAACTTTTGATTAGGATTCGTTCTCCTCTAAACGTGGACTTGGTTGTACAAGTCAGTATCTAGCACCCTCTGTGTACATGATTGACTAGGGCATCAAAAATTTTAATTATTATCAAAATCTTCAGTCGCTTACCAAAGTTTGTTTTTTGTGTTTATCTTAATGATATTAAACAAAAAGGTTTTATAAGAAATAGTGGTTTCACGTTTTTATCTGTCCGTATCCGATTCGTGGCTGTATCTAGAAGAATTTGTAGCTTTCTAGCCATTATACAGTAAGTGATCAAAACGAACATAGTCGAAAGTTTTTTAAATCAAAGTTACGAAAATCATGTCGGTTATCAACTTATCAAAGGCATTTAATATAACAAAAAATATCGGGAACGAATGATTGACGCATAAACTTTATTATGGTAATGGTTCATTGTGATTAGACCAGAAATTGGTCCAAAAAAAAGTGATTCCTCAGTCGAAAATAGACTTGAAAACCAATCATACACATTTTATGTACGCTAGAAAAAGCTTCCATCCGATTGAACTCAGACTTTCACTAGCTATTCTCAGGGATGCGATTTAGCTGTGATTTTAATGACATGTCGCATTAGTAAACAGAGAGTAAGCTGGTAGTTGTACAAAGAACAAGATTTCTACCGCCAAATTATGAATTTTACAAATATGAAAATATTCTGATGCAACGTCCAGATGATCTTCGAAATTAAATCATCGTGCTCCTTTGTATCACATATAGAGATAAATGCTTCTCAAAAAGAAAACAAATCAATTCTCTTAACTCAGAAAAATTTTTCAACAAAAAAGTCTTTTTCGTAATTGATAAAAACTAGAAAGAATTTGAATTTGAATTGATGCCAAACTATCATTTATTATTCTTTCATATATGCTGTATTGTTGACTGTAACACTATATCTCACTGATAAGTACAAAGAGTGTTAAATGTCTCTCCAAAGCTCAAGTATTTGATTTTGTATCCACAGTTTTATCAATAAGACATCATCTGTTAACGAAGTTAATATTCGGAATTAGCTGAATAGAAAACATTTGTTTATGAAAAATGTCATAGATTTGTATGCAAATGAAAGTTTTTGTTTAGAAAAATCAGTCATACTGTAACATCTAAATGTGACAAAGAATTCTAATCTGTTTGTACTCAAACTTTCAGAGACAAATTCAACATATGTGACGCACAAAACTAAAAAGTGATATTTAGCGTATTTTTTGAATCAAGGTTTTTTTCCTTTATAGTAACTTTGTTGTCCGAAACAAAGACAATATTAGCAATTCGTGCGTATGGAAAATTATCAAAGACTGTTAAACTAGAATATATAACAGCCATTGCAGTCGTTCATAACATGTTCGATGAAATGACTACAAATACTGTATTCGTAATCGAAAACTAGAATTATTTTTAATGAACTAGCATTTTATTCTCTGTAGATTCGACTTGATTCATGTTTTATCAAGATTTTCGATCGATATCTCTTTTCATTAGGTGTAGATGAAACAAATTTTACACTTCAAATTTCATATATTTATGTAAAGTTCTACCTTTATGTTAAGAAAAATCATGAGTTATCATTAAATCGTTCTTTCATTTTATTATAAGTCAATAATACATGAATATAATTAATTTTAGAATGAAGAATGATCTGAAAACAACATCATACAACTAGTTCATATCATAATAGAATAGATTAAGGAAGAAGATAGGGATGTCAGTAAAGATACACCCATTGTTCAGAAATTATAAATTCAATAAGTAACGCGTCATTGAAGTTATGTACGATAGTGCTGCTTCGAGTTACCTTAATTATTGAATGTTTTGTATTCCTTAAATTTCATCTCAGTTTCTGTCGAACTCTCAATATCTGGATGATGAACACTGTCTACAAAATAAATGTTATTATAAATTTAGACTCATCATTTATACAAATAGCACTATGCTAAACTCGATACACTTGTTAAAATAATTTTTGTAACCTAATCGTTGTTCATAGAAATCAGTATCGAATAGCAAAATAATATCGAACAAAAATTACAACCATGTCAAGGCACAAGAACTGTATGATTTTTACAAAGTCACATTTTCCATTAAGATGAATCGTTCATTAACAATGAAATAAAATCCAAGAATAGATTCCAGATTATTGACTTGTGTTCGAGTAAAATATGATTTTTTATCAATTCTACATAGAATTAAAATTGAGATAGCTAAATTATTGAAGTTTTATGTCAAATGTATACATATACAAAATTTCTACAAAACCAATAGACAAAGAGTATATGAATGAGTCATAGTCAAAGACAAAAATAAATAAATATTTTGAAGTTTTCTTTTCTTAAAACTTCTAAAAAGAAAAAAAATATTTTATAACTTTTCATTTTATACAATATCTATATATATATATATCAATAATAAATAATCAAAGTGCATTGCTATGCATATACACTTATAATGTAAAAATAAACAAATATGGCCGTCATTCATTCATTCATTCATCTTAACCATTTCTTTCTCTTCATTTGTCTTCCTCTATTCGTTTTCAATCTTTATCAGATATGTCGTCAGATGATTCAAAATTATTTTCATCAATTAAATATTTTACAACTGGTTTTCGTGATCCAGCTATTGAAACCGAATTTAAACAACATGGTGCTATACGTTCATTTTATTTAACAGAAAAAACTACACATGTTATATGTGATGATTTTGAAAGCAATAAAAGTGAATTAGAACAAGCTATTGAAATTTATCAAACACCAATTGTTACATCTAATTGGATAAAAGATTGTTTAAAATCTAATCAATTATTACCAATCGATTCATATCGTAGCGAAGAAAATAATAATGATGAAAACAATCAAAAACGTCTTTTTCAATCATGTACATTTGCTAATGCTAATCTATTAAATGAAGATCATAATAAAATTTATGCGCTAGCTACATATTATGGTGGTCGATGGATTGCAAATTTAGATAGTTTTGTTTGTACACATATTATATGTGCATCACCTTTACCAACAAATCATAAATTAGGTGATAATAATAATAATCATGAAGATATTGATGAACGTCTTCAAGATGCATATGAAATTCAATCTGAAAAAGTTCATTTAATAACACCGGATTGGATACTTGATTGTATTAATGCAAATATTTTATTTGATGAGGCAAATTATCATCCTGATTTACTAAAAAATTCAAATGAATCTATGGATATTGATGAAGATGATGATGATAATATTAATATAAGATCAAATGATGAACGTTCATCAACAAAAGTAAGTAATTAAATATATCGTATAGAAATTTAATTAAAAAGAGTATTTATTAGCGACTTAAAACTGCAATTATATTGATGACTATTAGAACTTTATGATATAACAAAAAAAAAATTCTTTTATTACATTGTATTAAAGTCTATTCTAAGTTTTGTACTTATCGAAAGTGTCATAAACTTTAATCGAAATATTACCATGTAATATTCCGAATAAACACAAATAATTTTCAATTAGAAATGTACAGATTCAATAAATTGTTTACTGAAACTTTACATTTCTATAAGTCAATAATAGATTTTATATTCATATCAATTGAGAATAAACAGTATTAAATATTGAATATATGTGTTTATTATTTTTTTTCTTTAGGATGTATCACAAACAAAATCTTTTGTATCAAAACGTTCATTAACAACAACAACAATTCCACAACGTAGTTCAAAATTTAGTGTAACAAATAATCATAATGGTCATTCATCATCAACGAAAGATACTCATAATTCAATATTGCCATCGGAAGAAAAATTAATTCGACCATCGGTTTCAGATAATTTAGCTACTTATAAAACAAATTTACAATTGTCACGTCATGCACCACCAGAAACACTTTCCTATGAATTAAATTATTCATTACAAGATAAACATGAACGAATACCTCCATCACAATGTTTATTAGGTTGTGTTATTTATATAGATGAACGTGAATATTCAGTAACTGTATCAAAAAGTGATTTGTCAACATGGTCACAAACAATAACAAAACATGGTGCTACTATATCTGATGATGTTATGAATCCAAATTTAACACATTTTGTATGTGCTTATTCTACAAGTGATCTTTTTCGACAAGTTTCAAAACGTGGAAGTGTTCGAATGGTTACAGCACATTGGTTAAATGATGTTTTACAAAAGAAGAAACTATTTGTTCCTAATTTAGCTATTCATTATCCATCACCATATGAACCTAATGAACCAGAAAAATTACCATTAACAAAATCTTTTATTACAATCACTGGATTTGATGGTAAATACAATATCTCATTTATTATTTTATTCTATTTGACAATTGTTTTTGATAAGAATAGATTTCTTTTATCAGATGATATATCATGATTTCTTAATAAAAAAAAAAAAAAAAAAAAGATAAGATGACAAGCGTTGACATTTGACAAACAAAAACATATAGGTGCAAATAATCATAGCTAAGGTTAAGGTAAACCTTCAATTTGTACAAGTTTTTTTTAGTACGTATTGGTTAGATATGAGCGGCTTCAGTCGATTTGGTTCATGATGTTGATCCTAGTCTCGATCAGAAAGAAACTTGGTCTCAATCTCGGATCAAGTATAAATTGTTGTTGAGATGGAGACTATCTTGCCTATATCTAAAGTTGATGAACAAAAAGAAAAAGAAAAAGAAATATGATATATTTTTATTTTACTTCTAGGTCTTGAACGTGCTCGTCTTCGTTATATGATTCGTTCATTAGGTGGTAAATATTCAGGTCATTTAGGACGATGGCATACACATTTAATTGCACGTGAAAGTGGAACAAGTGAAAAATATTTAAAAGCTTTAGAATGGTCAATACCAGTTGTTAATGGTTTATGGTTATCCGAATTATTTTTAGGTAATACAAATGCACTTAAACAACCATTAGAAGATCGTTTTCGACGTCTTAGTGGTTCACCACCTATAGATCATTTTTCATTTGATCAAAGTTTTGTTCATGAATTACTCTTACCATGGTCACAACCAATTCGTATATCTGATGATATGCTTAATACAGCTATACGTCGTCATAATGAACAACAATATTCATCATTTGATAATGATTATATGAAAAGTTCATATAATGAATCAATAATTCCATTAATTGATTCAACATTAACACATAATGGTCCATTATTAATCATGCTTAGTGGTTTTAATGCTAAAACATTAAATCATTATGAAACAATAATTAAATCACTAGGTGGTAAAATTTCAACATTGCCACAATATACAACACATTTAATAATGAATAAATTTTTACGTACAGAAAAATTATATGAATGTATGGGTTATGTATCAAATATATTAAATAAAAAATGGTTAGATAAATGTAATGATGCAAAATGTTTTTTACCTGTTGAAGAATCTGATTGGTTACTTGATGATGAATTAAAACCACCAAGAAATCTTTTAAAACAATCTATTGATAAACGTATTGGTCGTAAAAATAAACCATTATTTACAGGTTATACATTTTTTTTAACACCAACTGTTCAACCATCACAAATAACATTAAAATCAATTATATTTGCACATGGTGGTAATGTACGTCGACAATTTCCAACAATAAAACAATTAACAACATATGATGAACAAACAAAAATTCCAAATTGTTTAATTCTTACATGTGATATTGATAAATTATTATTAAAAGATTTACATAAACATAATAATACTGATTTTGAAATCAAAATTTTATCAATTGATTTTGTTCTTGAAAGTATTGTTCAACAAGAAATACTTAATATTGATTCATTTCTTATGAAAGTCTAAGTCTTTACTTTGGTTCTATTCAATGTAGATTAGTGTAAAATCGATTGTTTGTAGTTTCAATGCAGATATTTCTTTCTCGTGATTGAATTACATTTGTCTGATATTTGTATTAGCCTCTTTTTTTTTGTCTCTTCTCACGGTATCACTTTTTTTTGTCATATACATATATTAATTGTAAAAAACCAAAATAGAAAATTTCGTTGGTGTGTGTTCGTTTGATAAAACAAAACAAAAATGATTGAATGTTTTCTTTTCTTTTTGTTTATCTTCCAGATGTTCGGTTTTCCTTCAGACTTGTTTGGTATGCATGGCGGAAACAACCGTCGATCGAATAGTAATTCATTAATACCACATCATCACTCACTATTCGGAAATTCTTTAATGATACCATCACCATTTGGTGGAATAAATAGTTTATTTGATGATTTTGGTATAAATTCATCGCCATTTGCAATGATGGATCGAATGATGCGTGCAACAAACGATTCATTATTTCATGGTAATAATACGAATACAAGTGCGCCAATACATTCATTTACATCAACAACAGTTATGTCTTATAATGGTACAGATGGAAGACCTAAAGTTTATCAAGAATCAACGTCACACAGTAGAGGACCTGGAGGATTGGAAGAAACACGACAAGCTATTCGAGATAGTGAACGTGGAATCAATAAGGTAAGCCATGTACACGAAAAGAACTTCGCTTATATATAGAATAAATAACTTTGACTTGAAGAAAAAAATGTATTGATATTTTATTGAAATGTGATTGAGAGATACGATACAAAATAAAACATTAACTAAATTTTCATATACTGTTGAATTAAGACTAACGCGAGTGAAGATTTCCAACTGATCAATCATATTCTCACTAAAAGTTATTGGATTATGGGTTATCAACCATACTAATTTCGACTATGGTCCTAAAAATTCTCTTTGGTCCTTACATACTGGTTTTTTGGAAAGCTGATTTTTTAGATTAACAAATATTTGACAAAAATGCTTTTGATCTACTAAAAACAATTTGACACAGAACAGGTTATTGCATTCTATCGTACTCAACCTGATCTATTACCTTGACGTTTTAAAAAGAATTTTGGGTAAAATTATATTAGTCTAGAAAACAAACACATGAAGACCTAAAAAGATTTCTCATGGTCATATTCAAAATCAGCATGATCGATAGCTCATAAATCAGTTGCTTTTAGTGAGTCAGCTACTGGGCCAGTTGAAAATATTCCTTCGTACGTTTAAGAATTATTAGCACAATCGATAGTTCTATGAAAATGTTCTATGAATAAAATTAATGATTACAAAATTTTCTATTGGTTTCATATAGGTACAAATTGGTCATCGCATTGGTGATCGTAAGCATGTTGTCGAACGTGAAATGAATGTTGAAACGGGTCAGATATCTGAAAATGTTGAACTTGAAAATCTCGATGAAGATGAAACAGATAGTTTCAAAAGAGAATGGCGTCAGCGTTCAACGTTAACTGGTCTTTCTCGTCGTCCACATCATTCTTATCATCATCGTCAACTTGCTTCAAACCATTCACATCATCCATCATCACAATCACAATTAGCTATTGAACATAATTCTTCAAATAGTTCATTGTCTAATCGATATCATCAAAAATCTTCTTCAAAACATATAAATAATTTATCTCAACGACCACAATTTCATCGGTCAGATACAATAGATTTAACTGATGATTCACCAAAAATTGAAGAAATCGAAGAAATTGAACAGTCACCATCACCTCAAGTTTTATCAGCTAAACGTAAAGCTTCATCATCATACACAAATGATACTGATATTCAACGAAAACATCGACAAAATCGTTTTTAAATTAAATACAAAAGAACGAAGTACAATTTTCTTTTGTTGTTTTTATTTCTCACTTTTTTTTGTACAATTAGCTTATTATTATTCTTCAACCAAGCGAAATATAATCGCTAAAAAGGTTTTCTTTTCTATTGTTCTTCGTTTTCTATGTTGTTATAATATTCAGACAAAAAAAGAAGGAGAATCTCTTCATTATTTCTCATCTTTTTTTTGTTTTTCTTGTATTTATGTAGATGCATCTACTTTATTGTTGTTGGGTTTATGTTGACAGACTAAGGAATCATATTTAGAGAAAAATAAATAAAAACAGCAATAGGAAAATTTTCTAGAATAAACTACTTTACTATTTATTTATTTATTTTCTTTTGCTTGTGTCTATCTTTGTTCATAGATATATGTCAGAAAGAAAAGGATTGAATTTGTTCGTTTTTTTCTACTTGTGAGTTCTTTTTTTCTTTCTTTTTGTTTCACACATTTAAAACTCTAATAAACATTTTGGCTACTTACGTAAGATTTCTTTCACATCTGAACACATATATATGTATATACATTTTTTTTTCAGTATTATGCCCTCCGCCCACTACAGCAGTCTATTTCATCTATTCAGTATTATTATTTGTCTACTAGAATAGAACTATAAGGTATGTTTGATTCTTACATCATGTTCTAACAAGGTCCTATGATGTTCATTGATCTATTTTGCGTGAATTTATTTGTCGAAGAAAAAAAAGCGAAAGAAATACAAGGTACTTGTCTATTTGACATCTGTTACATAGTTAGACATCATTTGTCCTTGATACAATATAAGATCTCTTCATTCTTTCTTTGTCAATTTTTTTCTCGTTATTTAGTCGTTCGCAAGTTTATAAAATATTTTTCGTGAAAGAGAAAAAAAACGAAAGAAAAAAAAGAGAAGAAACTTCCTTTTATTTGTATTTACGTATATCGTTCGTCTTCAAGGCAATCGCATCACAAATTGATTGATGAGATTAATATTGGAATAAGAAAAAAGAAATCGACTTTTATAATCATCAAATCTAAAGTAGGTTCCCATAACCACCTCCACATTTTTTTTTCTTTTTTTTTTCTATTACACATATTATGACGATGATGATGAGAATGATTCATTTGAGATGATTCTCTTTTTTGCTATGAAATAAATCATCGATAGAGGAATCAGAAAAAAAACACCAGCATCCTTCATAATACTCTTATATTTTTTTTATTCTACTTGTCTCAAGGAGCGCAAGATAAATAAAAACTGTATAGGTTTTTTTTTCGTTCGATATTCAAGTTTAAAGCATAACTTACCATGTCATTACGATCACCATCTGATTTAGATTTTGAAAAAACGACTTGGTTTGTTAATTTTATAAATATAAAAACAAAAGAACAACAAAACAAACTTCTATTATTTTTTTTTATTTTTAGTATAAACATGAGTTTTGGTTTATTTCGTAATTTTTTTCCGAAAAAACCTCAACACCAAATATCCGAAATCTCAACACCAATAAGTGTAACAAAAAATATTCATGTTTCTTATGATCCAAATACAAATACATTTCATGGTTTGCCGCATGAGTGGGAAGATCAAGTGAAAAATTTATTTGCGTAAGATTGTATTTTATTGTAGTTATCTAATTAACATATATATTTCATGACAATGAATGATTTAGTCACTCCAAACCTGAAGATAAAGCTCGAGTTATGACTTGTGCATTAAAAGTTATTCAACAAACAATTCGTGAAAGTCGTGAGCATACTTTTTTTCTTGTGAAGACTTAAATTTTTTTTCTTTATAATATAAATTTAATTTTAGGTAATCAAACAAAACATATGCGTATTCAAGATACATTTCATCCCGATGGTATATCATATGAATCAGCTGATGAATTAAGTGAAACCGAAAGTGATCTTAGATCGTCACAAGAAAGATTAAATACTAATGGATCATTCTCATCACCATCTACAGATCCTTTTGGTAAAGACAAATAGTAAAAAAAACAAAAAAGAAAAACATTTGAGTATTTGTTTTATTTTTTTTAAAGCGAATCGTTCTGGTTCTAAAAAATATCCTCCTGGTATCTCACCTGCACATACGAATACAAATGTAAGAATGTTCATTCTATCTTTTTTATGAATAAAGAAATATTTAAACATTATTATTCATTTTTTCAGCCATCTACAAATTTTTTTGAAGAGCTTAAACTTGCTACAACACGTCGTAAACAGAGTTTAGAAGTACGTGTCGATGATATATCTTGATATCGAGTAAAATATACTTGGTTTTCTATTAGATATCTAATGGCAGATCTGATGATGAAGATCATTCACCAGAATCTAATAGGTCAGCTAATTCTCGTCCGACAACACCTGTTGCAAATCAACTTCAAGAAGTTGGTGTTAATAATCTTGTCTATCAAATCAATCGTGATACACTAGTTAATGAAACACTTGATAATATTCATAGTAGTGAAAATCTAATAACATCATCATTGGCAAAACCTACTCATATTCATCCTACTGTTCCACCTCCTATTCCTGTTCGTCATCATGTTAATGATGATACAACAGTAATGAATAATAGCAATGGAAAATCTCGTAAACAAGCCGATCAACCACCGGAATTACCACCAAAAACTGCTCGAGTCACGGCTGCAGCAGGCAAAATTGCATCTTCTGTTCATCCTATTATACCTACAACCAAAACAAATCCAGTTATTAATAAAGAAAATCATCAAGTAGTAACAACAGAGTCTAAATCAGTATCACCTCCACAGCAAGAAAAACTTGTGCCACGACATAAATTAAAAAATAATCGACGAAAAATGACAGAAGAAGAAGCTATCAAAGAACTTGGTTAGTAATCATATATCTTTGTGTTAAAAGTAAAAATGTTTTTTTTATATATTCTCGTTATATTTAGAACCAATTGCTGGTAAAGATGATCCAATGGCAAGATTTATTATAAAAAAAAAACTTGGTTCAGGGTATGAATGAAGTTTATTTGTTTTCTATAATTTTAAAAGTTCTATTAAATCTTTTGTTTTTATTTTTGTTATTAATAGCGCTGCTGGTGATGTTGATTTAGCACTTGATACTAAAACAAATACAAAAATTGCCATAAAACGAATGCTTTGGTCAAAACAACCACGAAAAGAATTAATTGTTAGTGAAATTCGTGTTATGAAAAATTGTCGGTTTCGTTCTATTGTTAATTTTCTTGATTGTTATTTAAGACCGAATGAATTATGGAGTATGTTTCTTTTTTAAGTTTATGAAACTGTTCTTTTTAATTAGTATAAATTATTAATTTAGTTGTAATGGAATATATGAATGGTGGACAACTAACACACATTGTCGAACAGACAGTGCTTGATGAAGGTCAAATGGCTGCTGTTACAAAAGAATGTCTCGAAGCACTTCAATTTCTTCATAGTAAAAATATAATTCATCGTGATGTTAAATCAGACAATGTTCTCGTTGGGTTTGATGGCTCAGGTAAATAAAATAAAAATCTTTACGGAAAAATATATTCTATTTTATTTTCAATAGTTAAATTAACTGATTTTGGTTTTTGTGCTCAGCTCGCTAATACGGAAAGCTTACGAACAACAATGGTTGGAACACCTTATTGGATGTCTCCAGAAGTGATTAAAAAGTAAAATTTATTTGATGTTTAAATTAGAGCAAAATATTTTTCTATTCTTAGACTTAAATATGATCGAAAAGTTGACATATGGGTTAGTTTTTAATCATTCATATTTTTTGAAATAAACGCTTTTTGTTTGTTAGTCATTAGGCATTTTAATGATTGAAATGATTGATGGATCACCACCATATATAAATGAACAACCATTTCGTGCTATGTGTAAAATAGCAATGCAAGAAGAACCACCAACAATAACTGCTGAATCACAAGCACGTATATCATCTGATACAATGAATTTTCTTAAACGTTGTCTTACGATTGATCCTCAACAACGTGCAGACACATACGAACTTCTTCAACATTCATTTATTAGACGTGCTAAGCCACTCTCATCACTTATTCCAAATATAAAAGCTGTTTGTAAGAATGATACTGATTGAGACGGAAAAAAACAATATAAATTTCTTTTTTTCTATTATTGTGCATATTCTTTTCTTGGCTTTTATCAGAGCCATATTTTTCTAATGTCTATCACAATTTTTTCGTTCTTTTTTATCTCTCATCTGTCTATCTATTGAAAAAAATGCATTTGTTAAAAAAAGATACACATATAACAACATTATACTAGTTAGTTTATCGTATCATATCTAATTTGTTATTTTCTGCCTCTTATTTATTCAATGATAACAATTTGTTAGAAGAAAAGGTACTAAAAACACAAAAATCTTTTTTTTTTCCTGTGTCTATATCATATTGATCTTCTCAACTCTGTGATTTTTATATAGTTTTTCTGTTCTCTTTATTTCATCGAGTACATTCAACTTGCATACAATTTTCATTAGCATTCACTTTATTATATTTGGTTCTGTCAAAAAAAAAGTTCTCTAACTGAAGAGATAAGCACCTACATAAATATGGTTCATGGCAATTTCTCTCTTTTTTTCCACTTTTTTTCTTTTGTATTTCATCCAAATGTCAAATAATGTTGTTAATCTTTCTCTTTTCCTTTCTCAAAAATAAACTAAAACTTATAATACATCAGATAGGCAAAGAAATTTTTCTAAGATTCATTTTTGTAGATGTTTAGTTTTAACTGGAATACGATCGATGAATCGACGTGAGTTCAAAGATTTATTTCAAAAAAAAGAATTTATTAAAAATGGATGATCGAAATGTAATTATATGAAATGTTCTTTCATTTTTTAGACTTTTTAAGGAGCCTATAGAAATTTTAAAAAATTAAATTAGAATCAGAATTTTGTGTTTCTTCCTAATATGGAATTCAAATTTTTGTGGTACTTCTAACTTGGGAGTATGAATCGATCTTTTGGAGATTCATAAATTCGATTTGAATGAAGAAAACTAACGTTTTCTGTTGCTAAGGTGTTCTTTACCACATATACTATATTACCAACTTTTTTGCATAGGTTTTCGGGGCAAAATCGTTGCCTAAAAAATAATACAAGAGTGAAGAACTTCAGAAAGAAAACATTTCAGAATTATCTAGCTAACTTTTGCAGTCTGCTTTACATAGAAACTAAGAAGGTTCCCTAAAACGACACAGTGTCCTGTATTACAACATTTGCTGTTAGCAAATGAATCAGAGATGATGAATCACTAATATATTGTTTTTATTGAGAAATGTTTACTCTTCCATTCTGTATGTTTAAAATAAGTTTCATTTCTACTTTGGAGTAGTTTTCGCACACACAAGTTCATCCAAAATCAATTTCCGAACCTCTAAAACCAGAAGTTCTACAAACACTTGAAATCCATATTCGAAAAAAAAAACAAAATTCTGATTTTAACATAATGCATTTAAATTTCTACAGATTTCTTGAAAAGGCTGAAAAAATGAATGAACATTTTGTCTAATTCCTTTTTGATTACTCTCGTTATATGGATATATATATATATGTATATGTATATGTATTTTTAATTACTAGATTTCAAGGACATTTGAATAAATATACGAATGCATTTAAAGGATATCAAAGTCGATATTTTGTATTAGATACTGAGACAAAAAGTTTACTCTATTTTATGGTATAAAGTTGATTATTGGTCTTTTAAAAATTGTATTATATTATTTGATTATAGCCAGATGAAGTTCGAAAAAAAGGTCCAAGAGGTGTAATTGATTTAACAGATTGTTGGATATCACCATCGAATGAAGATGATGTTACTTTCACTGTACAAACAACAGGTGGTGATTCATTTAAATTTCGAGGTATATTCAAAAACTTTAGTTACATATTTTCTATAAACGTAGAGATGTTTTTTTTTCTTCTCTTTAGCTAGTGATGCTAAAGATAGGCAGAAATGGATTGATAAACTACGAGCATGTTCTGGATTGAAAGCAGCTGATATTGTAAGTATTCATTGTTTAGTTTTATATTACAGAGAAAAAGAACGAGAAAATGAATTTTCTCTTTCATTTCTGAAGTTTGTTTCATCATTATCATCATCAAAATCTAACTTAATCAATGCATCGTCATCTCCGAATGATATACAAACTCGTTCATCGATTAGACGAGATTCACAGTATAATCAATGAAATTAGATGGTTTTGTTTGTTTTTCTATGTTTTACATTGTATAGAATCTATCATCATCAACAAACCTTAAAAGAAATGAAAGAAGTCATACGGTGTGTTGAAGTAAATCAACGAGACTTTGTCGAAACAATAGATGTAAATTATTTTATTGAATCTATTATCATATACTATTATTTTATTATTTTTGTTTTAGTCAATACCAGATAGAAATCATCTAAATCCATTATCTAAAGTACATAAAGCAAAAGTTTATTTGTTTGAATTTTTATTTTTTGATTTTCGAATATTAGGATATGTTATTACTTCGTTCTATATCTCAATCATGTATTAATTCATTACAAGACAGCCTGACCATACTTACTCGCAGACGGTTGTAGTTCAATATTCAAAGAAAAAGAAACAGAAAATAATTTTTTTTTATTTGTACAGAACGCCTGATACTGAGCCTCTTCCTCCACCTGTACCTTCAACTCATTCACCACAAACAACAATAACAACAATGCCAAACCTATCCGGTAAACAGTTGAGTCAATCATATAGTAGTGGTACTAGTGGTAAAGCAAGTTTAAATGTTGGTTTGTCATCACAATCGAATTCGTCTTCTCCACTAAATAAAACATCAAGGTATGAACGATTTATTTGGTGACTAACATTTTGCTTATACAGAAGATTCGTTTTTGTGGCATATTTAATCAGATAAAAAGTGTTCGAGAAACTTCTTATTTACTGTTGAAATAATACTTAATTAAGATTCCTGGAATCGAAGAACTTTGTTTAGTTTTCAAAATAAATTGTTGCTTAATAGATAAAATTGATGAATTTCAATGAATAGTTGAAGATAGATTATTATATGAAAGACAAATAAATAAATATTACGTTACTTCGACATTTGTTTGTCTTTAATTATTCATAACAGTTGTAGATATCTTCTTATATTTCTGCGATTAGAAAGTCATTATCGTCTTCTCAGAAAGTCATAGCAGAAACTACAGATTTCTAACTTTGATTAATAAGAAATTATTTAAAAACTACTGTAGAATGCTATTTAGCTAGCTATTTATTCTTGTGAAACTTTTGGCATGAATATCCCTGTTGTTTATAAGCTCGTCTACAAAATAAAATGATTTTAGAAAAATTATTTTTTATGTTACTCATTACAAATCAGTCAAAAATATGACTCAAGTTGTCATTAAAAAATGCTGATTTCGCATCTATAATCAAAACATTTCTAGAAAACTACTCGACAAACATACTATACCAGCCGTGCTCTCTATATTCAGGTCATGAACACGAGAATAATCAATCTATGCAATTAAATGAAATACTAAGAGAATTATTGAACTTTTTGTTCTATAAAAAACACTTTTTCAATTGATAAATCTCACTAGATAGCCGCCTCTTCAGGTGTCAACTCGCTTTTCGACTCGATGATATTTATTGTATGAGTACTAATGAATAATAGAAAAGTCTAGAATAGTTTTTTTTTTAATCCTTCATTAATGAAATATCGAAAATTGAATTCGTATACCAACCAAAAGCTGTAGTTCCTCTGAGATCACGTGAAAAATCGACATTCCGAGTTTTGGCTTCAAATTTTGCACGAAAAAAGCTCTCACTAAGATTAGTTTACTAGGCAAGTTTCAGCTTGTCTAGCATTTTCTTACTGAAAATGTGAGTATATGAACAACTTTTACTTTTACACACAAGAGAATTTGGAATATTGAATATTTCAAGAAACGAAATACTAGAAAAAGTTTAAAGTTGAAACTTGAAAATCGATTTTCCACATGATCTGAGAGAGACTACAACTTTGTGTTGAAAAATTCAGTAAAACTTCGATGTCTCAAGAATGAATCGATATTTGGAGAGGTTCCTCTGTCAATCAAGGAATCATGAAAAGAACTTTAATTTTTTTATGAGTTTGTAGCTTATTGAAAACTTTATACAATATTTGGAAACCTTACCCTCAATCCATAATTTATATGAATGGGTCAAAACTCTGGACCTTTTCATAAAAGATAGAAATATAAAACATAATTTCGATTATATTTGATAAAATAAATATATGCCTTAATATATTTTTGATTCTTTTCTCCTAGTCTGAGTGGTCTTAATCAATCATTATCGTCCAATGATACAATATTATCAATAAAAAACTTACGAGGTATATTAGAATTTTCTTTTCTTCTTAATAATTATTTAAAACTCTCATTTTCTTTTGTTTTCTCAACAATAGTCGATGTTGATACTCCGATTAGTACATCAGAATCATCACAGTGAAGACATTATTATTATTATTATTATTAGTGATTGATACTAGTCAATCACAGTGATCTATTCTTTCCACTATGTGTACATGATCGATTCTTCAGCTTAATAAGCCTTGTTTTAGTTCATATTGCAAAAGTAAAAGTATTTTTCCACAAAACGAATAAATATATGTACAATGCTTTCTTTTTTTTTCCTGTTTTTTTCTTCTCGCAATAAACACCAAATAAAATGTTTTAATGTAATAATATATATCAATAATCGTTTTTTTTTATATTTGTTTTTCTTTTAAGATGCCAGAAACTATGACTGAAAATGAAAATATTTTAAGTCTTATTTCAATTGAAGTACTTATAAGTCAAGTTAATATTGATCTTAATATTGAATGTCATTTGCCATGTATAGTTTTTCGTTTGCTTGACTATCCAGCTGTATTAATACCATATTTTGATCAATGGCAAATTGATGAATTTCATAATTTAAAACGTGACTATCCTAATTTATCATGGCGTCAATTACTTTCAGATCAATTTTATGAACTTCGTGGGGCTAATGGAAACTTTAATTTTAAACGTGGAAAATCATGTTTATTTAAAACTTACTTTAAAACATTATATACACATTTATTAAATGTTCCACTTTTTCTTTTACTTATTGATCAAATTAATGATAAAGGTATGAATGATAATACAACACAATTTATTGGTAGTTGTAATATTAAATTAAATGAATTAATTGAAATATTAAATCAATCAATTATTAAAAATGGTTATGATATACCACTTGTTGAACAACAAACATTTCATTGTACACTTTTTAATTTAATGGGAACACGTATTGGTACTTGTGATGCTGCTGTTCGTTTTTGTCATTATGGAACAACCATTTTAACACATTTACCTATGCTTGATGATGCAGTTGTTATAACAAAAACAGATAAAGAGTAAGATTATCAAGATTCTGTTATGAGATGTTGAACAATTTGAAATTCAAGTAACATTGTTTTTTGACATATTCTAACGATAATTTTGTAATGGAAACTTGGAAAAGTTGGGTTTAAAGAATATGATAAAAAAAAAATGAGATATGCCAAAAACATCAAATCTCGGAACTATCAATATACATCCAAAGTTTGGTTTTTTTTATTTTACTCGTTATAGAGTTAGGAACAAATTGATGCACACTTTTTGAGAAATATTGCTTGATTATTGAGTATATCGGTTTTTTTCGATTTGATAACAAAAGAAACCATCAGTACGAGTGTGTATTCAACCATTTTGACTATCAGAACTTTAGTTCTGAAAGAAAACAAATACCATATTGAGAAGTCTTCATTCTTAACACTCAAATCTTGTTCGTCAAATTTCGTTACTTACTCTCCCCATGGGTATATTTTCTGATAATCTGGCTTGTAATTTCTCTAAAGTCGAAATTGTTTTGGAACTGAAATTCTTATCGAGATAATATCTGAATACAAGCCCGTTTTTATTGCTTTTTTTCCTATTATACAGACAAAATTGATTTTCTCAATGATCAAAGAATATTTTTCAAGAAGCATGCATTTATTTGTTCCCTACTTGCATGACAACTAGAATAAAAAAATAAATAAAACTTGGATAAATATTGAAACTATCGAGACTGGCTGCTTTTGGCATATTTCAATTTTCTTATTTTTAAATCTAACTTGGCTGAGTTTCACTACAAAACTGTCATCTGAATATGTCACAAACAACATTTTTATAAGTAACTCGACGAGTTGTATTCTACTTTGATAAAAAATCCTGCTTAGGTTTCAAATTGTTGATACTTTATATAATGTTGTCTTTTTTTGTTTTGTTAGAGTTCCCACAACGACTAAAAAACAAGTTACTGAATTATTAGCACCACATCCATCAGCACTACTACCACCACCACCGCCAGCAGCAGATACAATTGTTAAACATATTCATTTTGTTAATGAAAAGAAAGATGTTGGTTTACAGTTATCACGTAGTGATCTTCCATCATCATCAAATAATAATAAATCAGCTCAAACACGTTGGACAAGTACAAAATCTCATCCAACAGGATATCATCATTCAAAAGGTCGATATTTACGTACAATTGAAGATCCGTCACTTGATGATCCATTAATTGCTTCTTATCAGCCACCACCACTTTATTTTAATTCAAATTCTGACTTTCTTCAAATGATGACACCAGTCAACGCTAAATATATGGATGAAGCAAAGGAGAATCGTTTATCTTATCTTGCATCAATTCCTATCGCTAGTTTTAATGATGAATTTGATGTTGATGATGAAAATGAAGATATTAATAATAAACAGCAACAACGAAAATTAAAATCTGCACATAGTGTTCGTTTTAATTTATCATCATCATCACCACCACCGCCATCAGTGGTTTCTCCTCAAAGAAAAATAATAGCGAAAAAACAATTATTAACAAAGGACTTTCTACATAATTTTCCACTTCTTCGTGCATTAGTTGAAGAAGCTTTAGCCTTACAAGAACATCAACAAAATCTACCCATATCAATTAAAGATACTCATTTAACTGAACGATCACATTCAGCTGAACAAAAAGAACAAGAAAAATTAAAACGAACTCCAATACGACCTAAATCAGCAACAAATATTCGTTCTGTTCGAACAAAATCTGTTATTGTAACAAGAAATATTAAAAATACTCGTCAACTTTATCCACCATCACCAGACACACGACAAATGGTAGTTACAAAAACTGATGTACGAAATTTAGTTGATCGTCTTTCCAAACCAAAATTTAATAAACGACTTGAACGAGAAATTGCTTTAGCTAAACAGATGACAACAATCGAAGAAACTGTTTCGACTCCTCGTCTTCCACCAAAGCCAACATCCGTTCAAGTATTTTATCTTTGATCTCCGTTGTGTTATTAATAGTCTCTTTGTTTGTTTTTTTTTGTTTTCGATAGCCGATCACTACTTATAAGAATATTGTCGTACAAAAACCACCACTTTCTTATGGTACTACACGTGCCCATCGATTGTATGCTGAATTTTCTCGAGCTCGTCGTGCTGCATATGAAATTCAAACGACCACACCACCGAAGTCTCCAATATCACCACGAAAAGAATCATCATCAAATGGCCGTATTCTTCCACCATCACCTCAATTACTTAATACGGGCACACTCTCACATTTTTCTCTTCTTAATAAAGTTGATATCGATAGTGCAACTATAGATAGAAATAGTATACAACAATCATCATTAGAACAAATGCAGCAAAAAACTGGGCCAACTATGAAGTCATCATCAACAACAAGTCAAGATGCATCAAAAGAATTAAGTCAATCCTCATCATCATCATCATCAACACCAACAGCTGAACCAACAATGCCTGAACAAGAACGACCAAATAATGGACAATATGATTTAGGATTTTCAATTACTGATGTTACTGATTAGTAAATTCGATTTAATTTCTGTCATAAACGTTTGTTTTTAATAAATTTTCATTCTAGTTTCACTGATGGTGGTAATGACTCAAGTACTCGACCATCAACAAGACAATCTACATGATTTCATTTATCATATTTCCGAAACAAGACTCAACGTCAGATCGTTTTATGCAGTTCGATAAATTTATCCGTCCGAACAAATATATAAAATATTTGTATCAATTTCTTCGAATCAGTATTTCAGATTTTTTATGCATAGTTTTTCTGTAGTACTCAGGATTTTGCTGTAATGAATGGGAATTTTTTTTTAAACAAGCAAATTGTCAATAAATTTTAATGATGCTTTTGCAATGAAATAAAATTGAGCGTTAATTGTTCATTACTAAATATTTTCAATCTTGACTTGAAATACGATTTGCTGAATTATGAATAGAAGTATGTTGGTAATGGCTGATTCGTTAATAGACGTATAGTTCGAAATAAAAATTGTTCAGGAATTCCATATGAGTTGACAAATGGTTCATTCTTCAGTCGAAAATAGGTTTCTTCCTATTTCATAAAACAAATGCACTATTATTCATATTCGAACAATTATTCCACCATGTATATCTTAGCCATGAATTAGAACACAGACTTTTAAATAAAGATACTTTGGGTTTTTGTCTGTCACGATATAAATCAGACTGTTTCATAATGATTTCATTCTCTCATTTTTTTTTCTACTTATTATTGACCAAGCATTCAAAATAAGAGAAAAATTCTGCCTCTGTATCATCTTGATTTAGCCACTTCCTACAACGAAATCGATAATGAGTATGACGGCATGGGTGACTACTGAAAAAAAATTTAATTTCTAGAAAAGTCACTTCCATAAACACATCCTGATATTAAACAAATGATAGGTGAAATTGACTATGCAAAGAGGGTTATCAAAATTTCGCCAATATAACTTTTGTCAACTGGACATTCGTCAATGGCGAAAGTCCACTCTACTTTCGCTAATACATCCCATGGACATTGGCTCATTGACGAGAGTTCACCGCACTTTCACCAGTGTACCTCCTATAATTTTGCTGACTTGATTATTACTTTCGTGTTTTTCGTGCAAAACAATAGAAACAAAGAATAACCTTTCTACATCGAACATATCAAACTCTCCATGAGGTTCATCATCAGATCGAAATAAAATTTTTCTTAATGTCTTTTTTTTTACATATTATTGTCGTTTTTTCATATAAAAATCATAAATCTGCCATATACGAAGAAGTCGTGATTGGAGACAAAGAGATATACTCTGACACCTTAAGTCTTCACATGGGATCCAGATGTATATTCATTCCTGAAAACTGACAAAAGTATAATGGACTTTCGCCAAACACCTCCTGGACTTCCGTTAATTGGTGAATGTCCAGTTGACCAAAGTCTTATTGGTGAAATTCGAAAACCTATTCAAAGAAGACGATGTAAATTTATTTCCATCTTTTGGCTTGGTGAATGAACTAGATTCGATTTCTATTTGCTACTCCCAGTTTTTCTCGGCTCTTTATGGCACACGCATGCGACCAATGAGACCTTCCTGAGCTTGAAACAGATACACGCAAGCGGATCACACTGGACTAGTAGGGCAATCAACGTAGGTATGCCGTACAATAATGATGACAGATATCTACGAACCCATTAGACCTTTCCGAGTACTACATTGCTTTCATTATAGCAGGTCCAAGGAATCTCTCCAAGTTAGGTTACATAGCCACCTGACAGACTGTGATAAAAAAAAGACAACCTTTTTGATAAGTATATAGCTTCACAAACAAAATAAATTAATATAATAAATCATTTTTTCTATACTGTATATATTACGGCACATGTATATATATTTAAAAACAAGAAAATCATTATATCTTGATTAAAATATGTCTACTTTATCGAAAAATCATTCGCAAAAGTCCTGTTAGCTACTAGAACTTCAATAGTTTTTATCTTCACCTTCATGATTTGAGAGAAATATAGCTTAGTTTCTGCTTTTTTTTCTTTCTCAAGTCTCTCTCACAAAAAGAAGCACAAAAAAAAAGAATGAAGCAACATATCTGTTTTTATAGTGTTTCAAGTAATAAAAGTAATTTATTTTAATTTTAAATATTGTAATGTTGTCATATTTTAACATTAATATAATTTAATTCTTGTAAATTTTTCTTAAAAAATATTTATGTAATATAATTGTTCATTTACGAATCGTTCGAAACAATATCATCAAAGTTGATAGTTCGATTTTCACAGCGTCGTTAGTACTACACACTGCGTGATAAAACGAAAAAAAAGAATTAATTTCTAGCACAATCTGTTGAACAAATTTTTGTTTTCTGGTGAAGCTTTGTCGAAATATGAGTGTCGATTTAAGAATGTTAGTGAAAAGAAGAGAAGATCCACATCTACATACTCAGATATATTCCAGTGAATCAAAATGCATCAATGACGAAGATTAAGCTTTTCTTGTCATTAGAATGTAGTCATTCGTATAATTTGCAACGTACATGTTTATGTGACACTATTATTGATAATGCAAAATGACAAACATTTACTTATAGATTTTGTTAATAATATCAAATGATAAAATTGTTTTCGTTTAGAAGAGTCGCTAGCTTAATGGAATCATTCTCGAAGTTCATTCTATTATGTTAAGAAAATTTTTTCAGATCAACATGACTTGTTTAGAATGGAAGAATGTATAAAAATTATTCTTTTTCTTATTATGAAAGATCTGACCACGTATTCATTAAGGAATGTTTAAATAATTTTTCGCATCATTTCATTTAAGATATATATATACAGTTGATTACTAATAACAGCTAAGATTTCATGAATATTTATCTATCCTTTTGTTATTCCTTGTTTGTACAATATTTGTATAAAAGGGACTAATAATACTGATAAAATTTTGAAAAGAAAAGATTCTTCACGTTTATTTTCACACTAGTAAGTCTAAAGTATTGAAATATAGTGATTGTTGAATGAAGAAAAAAATATCCAGAAAAACCTTGGTACAATATCATTGACTTTTATCAATATCAGTGTATCATCAACGACTGTAATAATTGTTTACATATATATCATTGAAAAAAATCCCATTTTTATCTCAATAACAAACAATAAAATACGTTAAGTACTACAAAAGCAAGCAATAAATAGAAACTAATGAACAAGCTAATTAAATTGTACTTTTTCGATTATATAATTTATTTTATAACATTTCCTCGACGATTCACTCAATCGAAATAACCTCTTGTATTTAGTCAACAGCTGAGATAAATCTAAAAAAATTAACAATTCATTTCATCTAAAACGGCTTTGTAAAATGTTACAAATATTCATCGAAGACTATTGTCTGCTTTTTAAAGAAATCCTTAATTAATTCCTTCTATTTATTTACTAGAAAATGAAGAAGAAACTTTATTTATTACGTTTCATTTTCTTTTTCTATATCTATTTTAATTTAAATATAGTTCATTTCAAACAAAACTCTTGTCAAAGATATTCATGAGAAAACTAATAAGTAGAATTCCAAAAAAAAAAAACATAGCATAGTTTGTTTTATTATTTTCAAGTTTAAATCTGTAACAAATACGTATCTGTCACAGATGGATAGCAGAAATTAAGAATGGATGGAAAAAGACAGAAAGGAAAAATGTCGAAAAGAAAAATATCGAATATGAAAAATAGAATGAAAAAGATATTAATTGTAAGAGATCGTTCGAATGCGACAATTGAAAGACCCTCTTTACGATGTGAGGGTAGTCGTCAATGTAGAGTTTTGGGTTTGGGTTTACATTCATATGTGCATGTGGTGGTAGACGGAGACAAGGCTCAATCACACCGGTTGAATTTTCTTATGTTACTGATAAAAATATTGCAAGAAAATATGGTGAATCAGGACGTGAGCAAGGTTAGCAGTGGATTGGAGTTTTTACTGCTGATATGCGTACCTATACTTGGTTTGAGTTTCTAATTACTTGGGTTCTATGCAGAATTCGATTCTCTACAGAACGTTGTCATTTTCGGAAGCGGGTATCAAGCAGAAACTAGGAGTTTTAATCGAGGATATAGGAATGTGGGTTTGGTTATAGGTATAGAGAATAACACCACACCAACACCTTTACGAATTTCTCTATTCTTTTTCTTTATTGAATATATTATTTTTGATGCTATAAGTGATTATAATGAAAACTTACTCTTTCAATTCGATATTTTTCTTTTCATTTTTTTACCGTCATACCGACATTATACATATACTAAATCTACTTGTTATGTTGCCTAGATAGTTGTTTTCTCTGATGCATTTGTAAGCTATCTGTAATAAATAGTAGGAAATATAAATGAATCTATTGTAATTTCCAATGCTACTTAGTCATTTGATTTTGTTTTGACAATGTCAGTTAATATTGAAAATGGCTTATAAGATGTATTACGTGTATTGTGGTCAAAATCGCTTGGTCGCATAGTTCGACACATATTGTCAGGTCGAAATAAAGTTAATCATCAGTCGAAATTTTGTTATTCATGAAGAAAATGTTTTTATAATCAAGGTGTTTTTTTTAAATGCAATTCAGATCAATCTGTAATCATCACAACGTAGTTAGAACTTTCACTCAATTGTATTCCAATAAAACAGAATTTTATATTGGAATTTTATGTGTAACGATCTATATTGTTTTCAAAGATTTACGACCTATTATTTACAATATGGAGATGAACAAGGTCAGAACAGAAGCTATAATAAAATTTTCACTAAGTGTGTAAACTTCAAAAGTGTTCACTCTAACATCTTTAATAATTATCAATAAAGACGAATGAAGACTATGCAAAAACAGGTACTTTCCACTCAATAACTAGGAAGTCAGGATCATGTTGATCATTGTTCAGCTTCGCATAGAAACTTTTTAGAACAGTGAGAATCATATCTTCGGCTAGATTTTTATCGAAGCTGTCGAGTTATGTGTGAGGTATTCCACAAAAATTGATCGAGATGTAACATTAGAAAGATTACAAAGAGTATGAAATATTCATCTCAATCTCAAGAATAATCCCCAGGTCAAAATCATCCGATATGATCCTACCGGATTATGT